GAAAAGGATAGAACAAAACACCCCCCCAAAAAGCAGCTCTATCGCCATGACATATGTACTGCTGCTGCTCCAAAGAGCCAAGTGAACCGCATATATTATTATCTATGTGTGCCTGGGCTACCATGCCGACTGAAGACATGCTGCTGTGAGCTTGTAGGAAATACTGCTGCTGCACATATAACATATATGAAATTACCCCCCAACAAAGCAGGAGACTCAAGAAATGAACAATACAGGCCAATAAATACATGCAGCCGAGTGTAAAAATATAATACTGCTGCATCAGCGGACATGCATATATATATACACACATGAAAAGAATGAAAACAGAAAAGGATAGAACAAAACACCCCCCCAAAAAGCAGCTCTATCGCCATGACATATGTACTGCTGCTGCTCCAAAGAGCCAAGTGAACCGCATATATTATTATCTATGTGTGCCTGGGCTACCATGCCGACTGGCTTAACAATAGTGGCCTATGACTATGTATGCCTTGGCTACCATGCCGACCGGCTTAACTCTAGTTAGAACGCGCACTGTGTGTAGTTAGCAAAATGATATACGTTGAAAGCTGATGAGATAAGAACCCCAGCATCCATCTGAGCAAAATATCATAATTTAAGTCATTTGATAACTGCCACTGATATAACTTTTATACTCTTATTGTACAGTAAAACCATTAGGAGCGATAAAAGAGCGTGCCTCTGATGCTGCGTGCAGCTGAAATCAACTGCACACTCAGCACAGCTAATGAAAACATCAACCTTAGAAATAATTAGCCTACTGAAAGCGCTGTAGTTTTGCTGTATATAGCTACTAAAAATATGTAAAGTAGCCTACAACACACAAATAACATTAATTAATTGTTAGAATCTATCCTACATAAAAAAAACCACAAACATTTACAATCAAGTCTGTGAAAAAACAACACCAGAATTAAGCCAGAAGTTTAAGCATAAGAATACTAATGTAAATTTGCTAACCAACAGTAAGAATTTTTATCCAATTAACTGCCTAGTTTCATTTGCTGCATGTTTAAAAAACACGTTAAACATACGTTTTACGTTTTTGAGAGGAAATATAATATATATAATATAATAGTAACCCTCTATGGTATGCACTATATTCTAACCATAAAATATTTTTTCTAATAAGTTTTTATTACTTGAAATAGCTTCAATCATACAAATCAAATCAGATTTTTGAAGAAAGATTTTTTTGGGGGAGGGGGAGGGATGGGTACTTATGGAAACGTTGCGATATGGCAACGCTGTACCACAATAGAAAATGGACAAAAAATAGTTTTTCTATAAAATTATGATTTTCTTTTCTATTTAAATGAACAGTTCTTTTAGAAATTGATAGATTTATATACTTGGAGCTCATGCAAACCAAAAATAAGTACATCCCTATCATTTAACCTTCACTAAAGGCTAACTCATCCTCACTCTCATTACATGGAAGAGCAAACTCTGCACTCTTCCTATTGGCCTTTCTATAAAATATTGCTGTATTCATATTCTGAAAAGAAGAAATAATGTTGTTATTTATACATAAATACAACTATACTACAGTAAACACTTCAAATAAATAAATAACTGCAATCATATTACTGATGTTACTAACTATAAAAAATGATTTCGCTCCCCTAGTGACGTTGCAAAGGGATCTCATTATAATAATACCGCCCCTTAATCTGTAAGTTTCCACCCACGGCGCCGTCATTGTGATTTTGCAAGCGACAACTGTGTACCAGTTCTAATGCCATAGCGAAAGTTTGAGTAAAACATGCTAACTGTTCTGTCTTTGGCTGCACAGATGAGCACAGAACACTACTTAGAGTCCCAGCCTCAGAGGAGACAAGCAGTGGATTATTGATTTATTTACTGTATATTGCTGCTACCACACAGATCTAAAATGAACATGCGATTTATTTCCCAGCTGTTTACCTTCACGGACATAACAGACTTTTGTAACGTAAACTTGTGTGTGAATGAGAACTTAGTTTAGTTCTCACATGCTGTGACAGCCACGTTCTGTACGTGTGCACTCAGAAAACCGTATATCAGAAGTTTAAACTAATATGGTTTAAAACGCATGATTTCAGCACGATAAACATGATAATCAGAACCAAAACAGATGTTTTTTAACAGGTTCGAGCTGTAATGGCGCAGCTCAAACGCTGGGGGGAGCAGCAGCTCATTTGCATTTAAAAAGACAGGCACAAAAAACAGCGTGTTTCTGCTTCCACTCAAAATGGGCATTTTCAAAATGGTATAATAAATGATCTGTGGGGTATTTTGACACATTCTGGGGACACCAGAGACTTATATTACATATTGTAAAAAGGGGCATAATATGTCTCCTTTGAGTCCTGCCCTTTTAATTAGTGTGCGCGTGTTAGCAGTTGGAAGTTTCAATAATATTAGCAAAGATAATTAGAATTATTTAAAAAGCGAACACTTGTTCCGTTCTTATTTAGCTCTGGAACCTGAACGAAAAAATATTTTTTGCTAAGAACGAACCGAAATAAAAGGATTTTATTTTTTGTATAACTGTGTGTCTGTTTTGCACTCTTGATGTTTTAGAGTGTAACCCCTTCCTTGCTGTCCACTTTTTTTACTGCATTGTAGTCGAATTATTGTTTTTAGTTTAAATATTTGCTGTGTTACAGTCACACCAGTTTTTAGGTGTGTGTGTGTATATAAGTGTGTGCGTACGCGTGTGAGTGGATGTGTTGGTTTTGCACTCTTGATGTTTTAGAGTTTCAACCTGTCATTGCTGTGTACTTTTTTCTGCATTATGTCAGATTTGTAGCCTAGTTTCATTTGCTGCATGTTTAAAAAACACGTTAAACATACGTTTTACGTTTTTGAGAGGAAATATAATATATATAATATAATAGTAACCCTCTATGGTATGCACTATATTCTAACCATAAAATATTTTTTCTAATACGTTTTTATTACTTGAAATAGCTTCAATCATACAAATCAAATCAGATTTTTGAAGAAAGATTTTTTTGGGGGAGGGGGAGGGATGGGTACTTATGGAAACGTTGCGATATGGCAACGCTGTACCACAATAGAAAATGGAAAAAAATAGTTTTTCTATAAAATTATGATTTTCTTTTCTATTTAAATGAACAGTTCTTTTAGAAATTGATAGATTTATATACTTGGAGCTCATGCAAACCAAAAATAAGTACATCCCTATCATTTAACCTTCACTAAAGGCTAACTCATCCTCACTCTCATTACATGGAAGAGCAAACTCTGCACTCTTCCTATTGGCCTTTCTATAAAATATTGCTGTATTCATATTCTGAAAAGAAGAAATAATGTTGTTATTTATACATAAATACAACTATACTACAGTAAACACTTCAAATAAATAAATAACTGCAATCATATTACTGATGTTACTAACTATAAAAAATGATTTCGCTCCCCTAGTGACGTTGCAAAGGGATCTCATTATAATAATACCGCCCCTTAATCTGTAAGTTTCCACCCACGGCGCCGTCATTGTGATTTTGCAAGCGACAACTGTGTACCAGTTCTAGCGAAAGTTCGAAAGTTTGAGTAAAACATGCTAACTGTTCTGTCTTTGTCTCTGATGAGCACAGAACACTACTTAGAGTCAGAGGAGACGAGGAGACAAGCAGTGGATTATTGATTTATTTACTGTATATTGCTGCTACCACACAGATCTAAAATGAACATGCGATTTATTTCCCAGCTGTTTACCTTCACGGACATAACAGACTTTTGTAACGTAAACTTGTGTGTGAATGAGAACTTAGTTTAGTTCTCACATGCTGTGACAGCCACGTTCTGTACGTGTGCACTCAGAAAACCGTATATCAGAAGTTTAAACTAATATGGTTTAAAACGCATGATTTCAGCACGATAAACATGATAATCAGAACCAAAACAGATGTTTTTTAACAGGTTCGAGCTGTAATGGCGCAGCTCAAACGCTGGGGGGAGCAGCAGCTCATTTGCATTTAAAAAGACAGGCACAAAAAACAGCGTGTTTCTGCTTCCACTCAAAATGGGCATTTTCAAAATGGTATAATAAATGATCTGTGGGGTATTTTGACACATTCTGGGGACACCAGAGACTTATATTACATATTGTAAAAAGGGGCATAATATGTCTCCTTTGAGTCCTGCCCTTTTAATTAGTGTGCGCGTGTTAGCAGTTGGAAGTTTCAATAATATTAGCAAAGATAATTAGAATTATTTAAAAAGCGAACACTTGTTCCGTTCTTATTTAGCTCTGGAACCTGAACGAAAAAATATTTTTTGCTAAGAACGAACCGAAATAAAAGGATTTTATTTTTTGTATAACTGTGTGTCTGTTTTGCACTCTTGATGTTTTAGAGTGTAACCCCTTCCTTGCTGTCCACTTTTTTTACTGCATTGTAGTCGAATTATTGTTTTTAGTTTAAATATTTGCTGTGTTACAGTCACACCAGTTTTTAGGTGTGTGTGTGTATATAAGTGTGTGCGTACGCGTGTGAGTGGATGTGTTGGTTTTGCACTCTTGATGTTTTAGAGTTTCAACCTGTCATTGCTGTGTACTTTTTTCTGCATTATGTCAGATTTGTAGGTTGAATTTTTGAAAATTCTCAGAATTTTTGTGTTTTTGTCGATTTCCCATTCATTTCCTATGGTCGGTCATTTTTGACCGAAGACCACAAGTGTGACTTTTTTTTTTTACGACCACTTTTTAGTCTGCTCGAATCATGCCCTCAACTTTTGTGTGTTCACATTCCAAATGCCATAAAAGTCACCAAGTTTCGTAACATTCTGATGAAGCTGTAATTAAAAAAAATTCAAAACTGTCAAAAGTGACACCTTAAACATTACACAAATTTGACAGCAGTTTGATAATGTTTACTACCTAAGTGCACATAAACGCAACATGTTGCTCTGACCCTTATCTTGGACTCAAAACTTCCTCAATTGGCATATCAAATCAAAATTAAATTTTAAATTTCCCCCTCCTCTCGGATGATCTCCAGAGTCTTTTTCTGGTCAAAGTTCTTCTTCCTCTTCTCAGCAGTAATGCAAAAGTCAATCTTGGAACGAACAAAATAAAACTTTTCCCCCATCTTCATAATCTCTGTGGCCAGCTGAGTGTGGCATTCTCTGAACCGATCTGAAGCAATGATGATGAAAAAATCATAGCGCTTAAACTGAACCAGTTTAAGGTATTCATCAGCTTTGAAGTTTGGTGTTCCAATGCCAGGAAGATCCCACACTTTCACATTTTTGTATTTTGGGTGAAGGTAAACTGCTGGTTCTGTAGTGGTCTCCACTACACCAGTTTTAGCAGAGCCCTCTTCTTCATCTCCTAAACCCCTGAATGCATTGACAAACGTGGACTTTCCAGAACCAGACTCTCCCGTCACACCAATGTTAAGTTCTACAAGATTCTGCTTTTTAAGGTATTCTTTTATCATGGTTATCGCTGAAGGGAGATCCTGAGAAGATAGGGTGTCTTTAATATCCTCTAAGTCCTCCTGGGTTATTACGCAATACTCTTCAGATGTAGCCATCTAAAAAAAAGAAACATGTCAACTGTGTTATAAAAAGTAAAGTTATAAATAGGCCTTATAAATGCAAAAAGGAAGTAAAAAAAACACCTTCAATGAATAGGATATTTGTAGTATGCCATATAAAGCCTACAAATAACCTAACAATAATAACAGAAAGTAATAAATATTTTTTATTTATTTTTTTATTATAATGTCTAAGGTAATATGCATTTTCTCCCCACTACATGCCTGCAGTTAATTCTGAAAAGAGTCAGATCATAAAGGCTAAATTATGGCACAGATGAAATTAGATTTTTCATTATTATCTGTACAGTTTTAATGTTCCATGTTAACTGACCCATTTCAGCTGAAACTCCCATTTTAGCTGGAAGAAAGATGTCTTATTTTGTGACCATGAAACCTCACTTTTAGACGTTTCGTATGAATTTATAAATTATACATACATTTTAGGTTTTGGAAAATGATTAACCCTATCCACTTTAACAAACCCCAATCATAGCAGTTTTTATGTCAGTTATTACTGTGGCAATATTTTTAAGAGTTTGTTTGTGAAATTATAAGGATACTCCAGTTATCTGGTCCATTTATCTGCCTAATGCCCCGCTGTGCCAGATATCAACCTATTTCAAAATAAATGGAGAGAGAGCAAGCGCAAATCCTGGCAGCTGCAGGTCGCAGCGCCACTTCCGGTGGCATCCCCAGCGGTCTTTCTCGCCATTTCTGCTGTTTGCTCTGTAAAACTACACTGTGTATAATATATACAGGGGCGTAGCAATCATTTCAGAAGTGAGGGGGACAGAAATGTTATATAAATATATATATATACACACACACACACACACACATACAGTGCCTTGAGAAAGTATTCATACCCCTTCATATATACTGTATATAGGAAACGTTATTTTGTCTCTTATTTCTTTCTTTTAATTGGCTAATAAATCAGATACACTGTTGGACAATAACCAATAAATGCTTTGTTAATGTACTACAAACACTTTTTTTCCCATTTTTATCACATAATAAGGCAGAATAGTTTCTGTACTGTAATAAATGCTATGTCAAGTAGCACTGAATTGTTCGTATACTTTATTTATTACCTGGAGATGATTTTAAAAAGAACAAATAAACCATATATATATACAGTGGGGCAAAAAAGTATTTAGTCAGCCACCAATTGTGCAAGTTCTCCCACTTAAAAAGATGAGAGAGGCCTGTAATTTTCATCATAGGTATACCTCAACTATGAGAAACAAAATGAGAAAAAAAATCCAGAAAATCACATTGTAGGATTTTTAAAGAATTAATTGGTAAATTCCTCGGTAAAATAAATATTTGGTCACCTACAAACAAGCAAGATTTCTGGCTCTCACAGACCTGTAACTTCTTCTTTAAGAGGCTCCTCTGTCCTCCACTCGTTACCTGTATTAATGACATCTGTTTGAACTCGTTATCAGTATAAAAGACACCTGTCCACAACCTCAAACAGTCACACTCCAAACTCCACCATGGCCAAGACCAAAGAGCTGTCAAAGGACACCAGAAACAAAATTGTAGACCTGCACCAGGCTGGGAAGACTGAATCTGCAATAGGTAAACAGCTTGGTGTGAAGAAATCAACTGTGGGAGCAATTATTAGAAAATGGAAGACATACAAGACCACTGATAATCCCCCTCGATCTGGGGCTCCACGCAAGATCTCACCCCGTGGGGTCAAAATGATCACAAGAACTGTGAGCAAAAACCCCAGAACCACACGGGGGGACCTAGCGAATGACCTGCAGAGAGCTGGGACCAAAGTAACAAAGGCTACAATCAGTAACACACTGCGCCGCCAGGGACTCAAATCCTGCAGTGCCAGACGTGTCCCCCTGCTTAAGCCAGTACATGTCCAGGCCCGTCTGAAGTTTGCTAGAGAGCATTTGGATGATCCAGAAGAGAATTGGGAGAATGTCATATGGT